GGGGTTCTCCTGGTTCTCCATCATCTCCAGCAAATCCTCAGACTCGTTTTTCTTAACCTTCTTAGCTGGGACGTCATACGTGTCTGAAGAACACACAAAAACCACAACAACATGACTTAAGTAAGTAAAAATGTAAACTTCCATGTCATACAATTTACTATACATGAATTTCATTTGGGCCCTCAGCCGTTTGGTACCTGACTCTTCCTGGTTTGTACAAGTAGGTGGGTGGAAGCGTAGGAAGGTGGTCTTGGTGTTGCTCTTGCTTGTTTTGGTGCAGAGTGTGATGTTTGCAAAGGACAGCCGGCGGTGCTGCTCGACTGTGGTGAAGCCAAAGTACTTGCAGAAGAAGAAGAGCAGCGTGTTGAGCAGGACAGTGGGGGAGTACGCCCCCAGCTGTTTACAGTCCCACAGAAACTGCTCCTCCACACAGGACAGGACACAACCTGCCAAAAACAGCAGGCAGCTGATGGTCCTGATCAAAATATCAAAGACAGGAAAAAATGTGGTGCTGAAGATAATTTACCTCCACCTGTGACTGAAGGTTTAAGGATCTTTGTCAACTCAGTGGAAAACCTGTCGTAGATGAGATCACTGAATATGTTCTCCAGCCGACCGTTCTGAACCAGAAACTACAGAGAAAGACAAAAACAAATATGGCTCATTAAACACTAAACACAGGATATGGTTATGACAAACAGGTGGGTGACAAATTAACAGAAAAAGTAAACAATCGCTGAGTGTTGGATCACTGTGCCCACGGAGCAGCATGAAAGCCCCATGACACTCACCCAGCCTCTAAATCTTATCATCAATGTGGAAACTTGTGCTGTAAAGACAAGTCCACCCCATCGACTTCGCCCAAATCACCAGAACCAAACGTCATGAAGCCCAAAACCACGAAGCTGAGAACACCAGCGTGCTGTGTGAAAAACATGCATCAAAGTGCACACCAGTGGCTAATGCCAGCATGAAGATATAGTTTAAGCCAGCCAGCAGATGTAGTAAGCGAGAGAAGGGCCCAGAACGCCACAGAAGCCGAGGGACAGCAAACAGACCCGAAAGTCCAAGAAGGGCGCTGGCCAGCACAACCCAGGCACCATGGCCAAAAGCGCAAGACCACCAGCAGCCCCAAAAGGAACCCACCCAAGCCCCACACTCCTGGACCCCCATCAATCTCGGAAGCAAGAGCCGCCCAGAGAAGGAGCCAGAGAGCCAAGTTAGAAAGAACCAGCAGGATCAGGCAGCCCATTTGTTAATAATTATAAATGTGTATATTGTAATTTCTAGTCTTACCAGCTGAATGCTGAGGCAGAGGTAGAACAGCCTGCCGGGGGAGTACGGCTCTCCATCGGACTGTTTCACCTCCCTGATGAAGCAAAGCAGGCAGTCGCTCAGTTCAGCCACAGAGCAACGAAGGAGGTCCGCCTTCAGCGTCAGTGCATGAGCTAACAGATGAAAGAGTCACGAAAAGGTTTTAGTGGATTAGCTTTGACATCATTGCCTTCATGAGACAAAATACAGAAAAAATAAAGTTACACTCAAATTGTATTCATCTGCTCTTTTTTTATGAATTGTCTCAGAATGGAAAAACAAAGGTTTCTCACAGGACTATTGATTTTATGGTCTCTATACGAAGGTCAAACTTGACCTTGTTTTCCAGCTACAGGACCTGGGCATCGTGCAGTCACTGAGACCATGAACTCCTCTGTGTACCAAAGTATTTGGCTTTTGAGTCAAATGTGAGGCCCAAACTGAATCATGGAACAGGACAATGATCCCAAGCACAGCAGGATGGCTCAGAATGAATAAAGTCACAAAGTCCAGACCTCAACTGAACTGAAATGCTGTGACAGGACCTTAAGAGAAATTTATTCCTGCTCGATTCTACAATGTAGAGGGTGTAGTTACTTCTTCACTGGAAAAATGGGGAAATTTTCAAACAGCAGCATGAAGTTCTTAAAAGTTAGAAAAAGCTCCATCCTCTACCTGCACATATGCACGAACAAAGCAGAAAACGGCATTTTTATGACTATAGTAGTGTTTGCTGGGATTTTTCCACCTGAATTTTTTTAAACTCACTTCAAAGAGGAAAAAAATCTAAAGCTTACAGACAAGTAAAAAAATGTTACAAAACATACAAGAAACGGGCTCCAGGTTGGTTTGTGACTCTCTCCACTTGATCCATCTCTTCCAGGCATCAACTCCACATTGACTCTTGAGTGTGTTTTGCTTTGAACACACTGGTTGAGTAAAGTCTGTTTTAGGAGCGTCTTGCTCATCTTTCTTTGAAAGCTGCTCCAGGTTACAATCCTGAGACACACAGAAGAGTCAAAACCACAGAAAGGAAACATCACGCAGCTTCTAACCAGCTCAGCTGGTTTCTTACCTTGTTCTTGTCTTTGTCCAAAGTTTGTGGTACTAAAATTGGAGCAGGAGGAGCAACGGGTGATCTCTGAGGAGTTTTCAGAGCTGAAGGAGGAGAAAGAGGTGGGGGGTCAGGAAGAGGACTGCTGGGCATGTCCTCATCTGAAACTGGAGGGGAGGTTTTGTGTCCTCGCGGCTGAGTGACCGGCCCGGCGCTGGTATCAAAGAAATCCTCCAGGTTGTCAAAAGTGGGCTTAAAATCTGTACGCAAGTCACTACTGCAGCTCCTGGCATGGTCTGAAAATAATGAAAAAAACAAGAGAGAGAAAGTTCTTTTATCCTTGATATTTTTTATTATTAGAGAAAAAATATGTGCACTTATTACAGGAACACAGCACCTATAATCCATGTCACAAGACCTTTTACAAAGCACATTCTGACAGCTCAAAGCAGTAAAACCAGCAAGTTCAAGAACTGCAGCTAAATGGAGTAGAGCCAGCTGTTATTATTACTAACCCGAAAAACACACTGTATGTAAGTGTTGTTGAAGCTAATAGTAACCTGTGTATTAACATTATTAACAGGTAATACTAAGGTATGTTTGTTTACAGGAAACATCCCTAATCAGCCCTCTATGGTGACACAGCATCTTTGACACAGCTGTGACTGTCACGTCCATCCCGAGTAAACCGAAACATTAAGTCATAAATGACTGATGAGATCATAACAATGACACAAATAGAGGGAACAGACATAGTTGCTGTGATTTATATAAAAGCAGCTGTTTGGCTCAGTTTGGTTCATGTGTCCATAAATGATGGAAACTAACTTTTCTTACCCGAGTACTACAGGTCATCCTGTCCCTGCAAAAATATGTAATTAAAAACAATTCTTACCCTGCAGGGATGAAGGCTTGGGTCTTTCTTCCTCTTTTATCATTTTTCCATGCTTCTGCCCTTCCTCGCTCTGCTCTATCTCTGTCTCAAGCCTGATGTTGAGCTCGCCCTGTAAGTTTTCAGGATGCAAACTCTCCTTTGTGGATTTCACCGTTGCCTCAGAGCCATCTGTGTTCACGGGGAGGACCAGGGGCACAGGCAGCTGTGGGAAACACAGACTTAAGACTCGGGTTTCTACTGAGTTTAAAAGGTTGAAATGCGGCAAATGACAAATGTACTTAAAGTTAAAAGCAGCAGGACAAACAGCTTTCAATAAATTATCATCGTTTTTTAAATGAACCACAACTCAGAAATGTTTTTTCCCTCAAACAGAAAAAAATTTCAAGGATTTTAAAAAAATATGTAACCTAGAAATGACAAAGCAACATTTAAGTACTTTTAAAGAATGAGAGCATTTATCTTACAGTAATGGTCTCATATTTGTTTAAGATCAAAGATGTGTTTTACTTACCAGTAAGGGCAGGCCCACCGGCTGTGGGGTGTACTGGCTGTACATGTTCATAGGCACAGGAACATAAACCGGCACTGGGACGGGCAGGACTACGACTTTAGGATCACAACGGTCTTCTAACAACAGAAAAGAAAAAATTGAGTAAACACCAAAATGGTTAATTCTGAAAAGATGGTACCTGTTCATGTTTCACAACAGACATTTTATGTGCTTCACCTTTTTTTGTCTCTATTTTAAGAGCCTCTTCTGTACAGGAGACCCCTTTGTTATGAACCAGCGGAGTACAGATGATCGACTTGTTCTTCAGCTCCTTTGGGACAGTCTGAACGCTGGCCTGACGAACAGACAGGTCACAAAAACACCTTCAACTACGATCAAATCAAAATGACGACAAAGACAACTTCATTTGTAACACAGATCATATTATTAGGTTATTCTGAAATTTAGCCACTTCTAATGTATCAAAACAGAAGTTTATATAGAGGCACATTGATTAAAACATCTTTGCAGACTTACATGTCCAATGACCTTTGTTTGAATGTCAGTGATGGAGCCTGTGGAGAAATGATAGCCAGAAAAAACAAGGCAACAACTATAGTCAGAGCAGCTAAAACAAAACACACACAGCATCACAATTTCCCACAATTACTACTCAATTTATTTCCTGGGTGAAATATCACCATGTGTTAATAAATAGTGTGTGTGTGTGTGTGTGTGTGTGTGTGTGTGTGTGTGTGTGTGTGTGTGTGTGTGTGTGTACCAAGCTGCGGAGAGGCTGCTGGGCCGCTGTGCTGCTTGGTCAGAGCCTTAGCCAAAGATAAAACATTCCCAATGACAGGAGAGGACTCTGCTGGTGCTGCAGATACTGGAGATGAAGAGACTTCTGGAAAGAGAGGAGAGCCAGTCAATGGTGCCAGTAACTGATTAAACTGCAGCACAGATTTATAGAGCCTGTAACTGACCCAGGACTCGAGAACAAATTATTATAACCTTCACTTAACCAGGAAGCTCCATCAGGAGCAAATGAAACAGCAAATGTGCATACCTCCATGCAGGATCTGAACCTTGTTACTGCAGAAGTGCAGGAGACACTTCATGCCACAGAAGTATTTGACCTCTCCCAGGAGTGGCAGACTCTGCTTTAGTTTCCCTTTGTTACTGCAAGTGTCACATTTTGCCACCTGAGAAAAAAGCAGTTAGAAGAAGAATTGGTGATTAAATTGTGTTTTTACAAATTATATTCAAGGGTAAAAGGAAAAAACCCTTCATCTGCAGCAGACAGACTGTGCAGAGTGTGAGCATCACCCTTCACTTACATGGCTGAGGAGCATTTTGTATTTTGAGCAGCAGGCTTCAGAGCAGAACTCGATGTCCGTGTCTTCACCCGGTGTCGTCACCAGACTCTTGGATATCGACTGGCAGTAACTGCACGAGCGACAGTGTTTACCCCACTTCCCTTTTAGCTCTTGACAAAAAAGCGTCTTGCAGGCTGCGAGAAGAGAAAGATGAGGCTCCAGTAAACTTCCCGATCATGTGAAATGGACCATAAACAAACTACACTGACATGTTCTCCCTACCATCGCTGCAGAAGCAGCAGTCTTTGCCGCCGACTCTCTTGACGTCTTTGATGATTCTTTCATTCTTACAGTATTCACAGGTAGCCGTGATGCTGTTGACCCTCTTAAATTCTTGAAAACAGGCCACACTACATGCAAAGTATATTTTTTCCTGCACACAAACACGGTTATATTTTGATACAAATCAGTCCACATAAACATGAATGTTTCTAACAGCTTACAGGTGACAGAGAGACAGTTTAACAGCTGGTGTAAAACAGTGTTGAACTAACAATGCATACAATCAAGAGAGGGAAAAAAACAAAATTTTCAACCCACACAGCCCTCACTGTTTGTGGTTCTCCACATTTAAAGAAAGGACGGGAGAATGGTACCTTTCTCTGGATGACTTTGGGTGTAGTTAATACGATGCTTTGACACTGGGCGCATAGCAGCTTCGGTGGTGGATGGAGGAAATCCCTTTGACTTTGATCGGGGACTCCTGCTGGATTCTGGCTCTCCTGTAGATCAAACAAAAGAAAGAAATGGGCGAGCCATTGTTCAAAACTTCTGATAGAAATGTGACAAACAAAATCTTAAAGTCAAGCTTGCTGTAAAGAAAGTATTTCACCTTTAGGTGCTTTTAAATGTGGCAATTGAGGGCTTTATTTTATTAGCATATATTAAATACATTACCCTGAAATCCATGCCACACTTAAGAGTGCAGAAGTTTCTGATGGAGGCATCTGACATGGCAAGGTGACAGGTTGGCACTGCAGTCTTACCACAGTGGTCACAATTCAATGAGGCACCTGAGGAGAAGGGGAGGTTTAATCGAGGAAAGCATGAAACTGAGCAGATTTATGTTTGCACCTTTGAATTTGAAGTCTTTTCATACAGTTTGAAAAATGCTTCATCTCCAGGTTTTACTTTTATAAATAAAAAATAGTTAACACACAATGAAAGTTTGAAGCTTCTGAGTTACAAACAGAACTAAATAAGACAAACAGAAGCTGAACAAAGCATCCGTCCCGTACCTGATGAATTGACAGCCTGGATCTTGAATGCTGACATGCATCTTTTGGTGCAGAAGAGCTCCACAACATTTTCACTGTTTTTGTTTCCAACCATGTCTGATATCGGAGAAGTGTTACGGCACATTGTGCACGGCTGCGGGGTTTGGATTTTCTGTGCAACAACAAAAAGCAAAGACTCAGTTCAAATTCAGCTCGTGTCATTTTTTGAAGATTAGGAAAAAGTAACATTTTGCTTTTAGAAATTGCCTAAAATCTTAAATGAAAAA